GGGGACCCGGTCCCCCGCCAGCTTGACAGCTGCGGGGGCGCCGGCGGCCTCGCTCGCCCGGCTGCTGGGCACCCCGACCCGGGACGGGGAGGAGGTTTGGTATCGGAGCAGAGAAGGCCGAGCCTGCTGGGAGCCGGCTGGAGGAGCACGTCCAGCTTGTCTCCCCACAAGAAGCTTGCAGCCCTCGCACAGCTCCGAGGGGTCTTGGCAGCGTGGACAAACCCGTGGCAGCCCTGGCACAGCCAGCCCGGCCGCAACGTGGCCCCGTCCCCGCGCGCGTGGCCAGGGTCAGGCGCCAGCGAAGTTGCTGGGTTCCGGGGGCCGCCTCGCTGGCAGATGTCCCGTGCGCCAGGCTGGCTGGTGAGGAGTGGTGACAAACGGGCCTGGCCCAATGGAACAGGGGAATGTCTTGGTGACATCCCAGGAGCCACAAACGGGATGCTGGGAGACGTGAGGGAGGACAGTCCATATCCGGAGCCGTTACAGCGGGTGTGCCGGGGCCATGTGCTGCTGCTGACCCAGCAGCCTCAGTGCATCGCTCTGCTTTGGCCGCACCACCCGTGATGGGACAGTCGCCGTGGCCCCGGCCTCTCCTGGGGGTGCTGTGGCACGGCAAGGGGTCACAGCAGCGTCCAGGGTGGTCTGGGGCTGTCGGGGTGCGCCCACAGCGTGCCACGAGATGGCACTGCTACGGCACACTCCATGCGCGTTGCGACGCACTCCACGAGCGCTGCTGCGCCCAGGCCCGCGCGGCTGTGTCCAGCCAGCGGCAGGGACGTCCCTCAGCTGCAGGGACGTCCCTTGGGCTGCAGCAGTGTCCAGCCAGCTGCAGTGACATCCGTAGGGTGCAGGGACACGTATATAGGAATTTTCATCCACGTTGCCAAACCAAAAATGTTAATTAGGATGGTACCAGCTTGTGTAAATGAGGCCTGCAAGGGGGAATGTTTCTGACTAGCTGCTTTTTGCACAGCATGAGCGTGGTCATGTTTGTGTTAACGCTGCGTTGTGGGGGAGGGGTGTGAATCCTACCTGGGACGGTTACCGACATGGGGTCAGGTGGTGCCAGCAGGCTCACCCAGGGGGCCCTGCCTGGGACAGGGGGATGAGATCACAGCTCAGGGTGCTGCCAGGCCCAGTTCTTACCTCATTCTTCTGCTTGTTGCATCGTTCTGCCCCGGGCACGGGCTGGGGAGCGTGGCTGTGTGGCTGCCTGGCCACGCGGGCAGGCCCGGGCTGCCGTCAGGCGGTGCCTCACGGTTCCCTCTGTCTTGCTTTGCCCCGCAGTATGACTACAGCTTCCGGACAGAGCAGAGTGCGGCGGCCCGCCTGCCACCCAGCCCCACCAGGTGCCCACCGGTCCCACAGTCCTGAGAGGGGCCGCCGGCGCTGGAGCAGGCGTGTGCGTGCATACTACTGAGCGGGACGCAGGACGTGGCGCCGGGGCCGTCCCGGCAGACCTCCGCTCGTCCGGCCATCGCCGCCCACCCTGCGCTGCACCACCTCCTCCTGCACACGCTGCTCCACGCGTTGGGACTGCGCAACCCTTCAGCAGCTGCCCCCACCCTCCCTCGCTGCTGCGGATGCCTCTCCACGTGAGTACGTGACTGGGAGCCTGATGGCAGCCCCTCGGTTGTCCCCACTTTGTAACCCCTGCTGCAGGACAGTCACAAAAACCAGAGCTGTAGCAAACGGCTGTGAACGGTGAGCTGTGAGCTTGTGGACCGTCAAGAAATGCTCAGCAGCAAGCCCTAAAAGTAAGGAAGAGTAAAAGATACGGCTGGTTAATCCGCAAGCCCCCAGGCATCCCGCCTGAGCTGACATGGAGCTGATGGGCTCTCGACGCCTCACAGCAGGAGGCCCCTGCAGTGCTTGGTCCAGCAGGCAGCACCGAGCCACAGCGGATGCCATGTCTGCCTCCCTGAGGTCTGGGCATGCAGCAGCTCCGCTGTGGCCAGGATGAGCCCCAGACTGCGATGACTTGGTTTTGCTGTAGGCTAGCGGGGCCGGGGTCGCTGGCTCAGACCTGCCTTGGGCTCTCTCCTCAGGCACTGGCAAGGCAGAGGGGCACAGAGAGCACAAGCTGCACTGCAGTTCCCGAGGTGAAGCACCTCTGCTTTGCACGGGGCGTCCGTGTGTCCGTCAGGACCTAGAGCGACAGATGTCCTGTATTTCTTTCCGGGCTGGATGCTGGCAGCAGCCTGGGCAGACCCTGGCAGTGCCCTGCTGACCCCTGGCCGAGCTGCCTGTGGAGCTGGGGCCCTGCTGACAACGTGGATGCTGTCACCTGCTCGTCACTTTGGACAGTTTTCTAATATTCGCCCCGCTAGCTGCTAAAACAAAAGAGATGTGCCTGTTCTCTTGTGCACTGATGGGGAAGCACTGAACTCTGACGTAGCGCAGGACGAGAGTGGGATGCATTAAACCCTGACCTCAGCCTCCTTGTGATCGCTGACCTTAGCTCGCTCCCGAGTCAAATGCATGTCTTGGAGAAGTCTGTTGCTGTAATAAGTTGTTTGGAAGTGCCCATCTGACTCCGTGCTGCTTTTTCAAGTCTCTGCTGTAGAACAAAGCTACATCATGGCAGCAGAATGGCAATTTTTAAGTTAGTGTGAAAACATACAACTTTTTATATTGTAAAATACTGATTACCTAACCCTATTGAAATGCAATTGCCATAGTAACAAATAACAGTATTGTCGCTCTCAGTCTGGGTCATATGTATGCCCTGACCTGCTTTGCACTGCTTTTGATTGATCTTGCATTTTCTAGTTGGACAGAATGGTGACTAACAGTAGGTTTTGTACTGTCAGCTTGTATTTTTTATTTGTACATATGTAAAATATTTCTTGTCCAAAGATTCATTTCTGGTTTTAAGGCACCATACCCCATTGCCGGGATAATGAGCACAAAATACCGTAACATTCAGGACAGACTGATTCCAAGTCTTTGCTTCAACTTCTTCCAATCAGGTAAATAATTTTCTAAAACTGCCTCTGGAAAGCAAGGCTGTGCGAGTGGAAAGCAGAGGCCGATTTGGTTGCAGGTGTGCCATATTTGGGCAAAAGAATTAAAGCTATGCCATTTGCACCAGCGCTGGAGGTTTGGGTGACCCCCTGGAAGTGCTCCTTTACTTGGAGGCTGCAGCACCATTTTTGGTTCTTATTTATCCTGCAGGAAAGCAAAGCCAGACCTCACTGCCGAGCTTCACAAAGGCTAGATTGATGATGCCGACGTCGACAAATGAACATACCATGGCAGCCTGGTCATTCGGCTCAGGTTCACTTGAAGTTCAAATCCACTCCATGCTGTAGTACTATGCCCATCTCATCCATCTTTTGTCTTTCTGTTTTTCTGCTTGTAATTTGTTCTGTGGTTTTCTGTGGCACCCGTTTATAGCTTCTCCTGTGGCTCAGCGGACACTGCAGGTGGACAGATAGTGTTTCTCATACCTTTGGGATGAGGGAGCTGCCGAGAGCTGTCCTTCCCTGTCACTGGTGGTGAAGGAGTGAGGGCTGCGGGCTGGTGCAGCGCAGCCAGCGCGGAGTCCGCAGAGCCCCAGGGGCAGTTCCCACTGCCGGGAGATGGGGAGAGGGCTGCCGGGAGCCCCTCCTCGAGCCGCGGCTTCCCATGCCGAGGGCAGGGCTGGCTGCGCAGCAGCTGGAGTGCTCAGTGGGGAGCGGGTGCGGATAGCTGCCGAGCCCCGCATTCACTGGGGCACTCCCTGGGCATATCTCGGAAAAATGGGCGTGTAGCTTCAAGTCCCTTCCCGTGAGATTTAGCTGAGAGAGCATCAGTAGATAAAACTGGTGCTTTAATGTTTATAGTTCCGTTTGCTCAGCCTTCTTGGAGACAGTGAGCTCAGCTTTCTTTTCAGCGACCTACAAGAAACACTGGATGGCTCAAAACGCTGACAGGACATGCAGCTGGGACAAGCATCTAAGAATTCTTCAGGATATATTTGTATAGTTGGTTCTCACTTTTCTCTCTCTTACACTGGGCTAGCAAAGCTGCTTCAGGGGTGCATCTGCAAAGAAACTGGAAAGATTAGTTTGACCTTCACAGTGTGTTTCTGCACTGTGGCACTGCAGGGATACCCTGTACCGAAAGCATGAATAGTACAAATGCAGTTCTTGTGGTAGAAACGCAATAGAGGTGTTTTGAGCAAAGAGCTACAGCTGCTGAGAGCCAGCTGAGCTCTCAGCCCTGCTCACAGAAGGCTGGAAAACTGGGCATTACCAAAGGGGAGAGGCTCAGAGCCAGAGCTTGGAACCACAGCGAGACACACGGTGCAGGGTGGTTGACTGTAAGCATCGTCTTCTCAGTCTGCTGATGATAGGAAGCTTTCTTATTGCACCTCTGAATTCCCAAGATCTTGGCCATCAGGTCAGCATTTCCACAGATGGGTTTTATTTGCTGTTCCATAACTTTTGTACTCACAGCAACTCATTGCAAGGCTGGTCCTTGTGTCCTCGCAGCAAGTCCTCCCTGATGGCATGTGTCATAGCCAGTACCAGCATCTCTCTGCATCTTCCTCCCTCCCTGTCCCAAAGGCGACTGTGGTAGCATTGGCCTGGGCAATAAACGCTCAGGGAGCCTGATGTTGATATTGTCTGGCTGTGGAGAAGCCTTCTGGAGCATAAGGGGAGGGGATGAGTCAACGGAAAGCAACAGAAGTGGATTTGCAGAGCTTTACCAGATGTGCTTGGCTACCTTGCCTCTATTTCTAGAACAAAACTAGTCTCTAGGTAGCTTAATCTTGTGGCTGATGGAGAAATTAATTTGCCAAATTATTTTATGTCTGCAACAGAGACAGAAAAGCAGCAGTGAGGGGTTTGCTTACTGTAAAATACACTTTCTGATGTGAATTAGTAGTGACACGCTGCCTCCTGGATTTCTCACGGCAAAGAGCAAGGTAGTGTGCCGAGATGACGCGTGGGCCATCCAGGCCAGGCTGTGCTGTCTAATGTGTTAACAATGGAAAGGCAAGAAATTAGTCCAGAAAGTAATGTAGAGTGTGAACTTTGTGATAAAATTCAAGTGTGGACAGTCGTAGCAGGTGTCTGCCCTGTGGTAGCACCTCATAGCTGTAGTTACATAGTACTAAAGTTTGTCAAACTTTTTCCTTTGACCGTCACCGAGTTTGCCCGCGGTGTTTGCAGGGGAGGATCCCCTGTGAGCCTCCTGTGTAGTCAGAGGTTGTTGGTAGTCTGTAGCTTTGGGCTTGTTTGGTTTCACACCCGCCCCTGCCCCCACCGGTTTCCTGAGCTCTCCAGACCGAAACCCACACACCGCGGAGCCTGGAGGAGGTCCCGACGTGGGCACGGCACGTGCCAGGTGGATGCTGGTGGCGAGGGCGTGCATCCGCAGGTCTGGACTCTCCTCTTCAGTGGGGCCCTAAAAATCTCCTTGGGGGAGGGAAAACGGGATGCAGCACCTTTGGAGCTGGCCGGTCCCACGTTGGCCTTCACCTCCCGCTGCCCTCGGGTGACACGGGGTCTGTCCCCCCAGATCTGCCCACTGGCTGCTCTCCCAAAGCAACCCCAGGAGCCTGGCCGGGATGGCAGTGGGCGCGTGCCGCGGGTGCTGGGAGAGCAGCTAGCCGGAGAGCCGTCCCCGCTCCTCCTGAAGGGCCTGCGCGTCTCGCTGCACTCCAATAATTACCTCAGCCTTCGAGCCTTGACGAACGGACGGGAATCTCTGCCGGCAGCGGGGCAGCCGAGCGGTGTTGTGTAAGTTATCCTGAGCCATAAAACTCTGACAGCGTTGCAGTAGGGAGGGTGCTCCTCTGCTCCTGAAAAAGCTCAGTAAGGTGCTGCTCAATTCATTCAATACAGGGAAACCAAACAGCTTGGATATTCTGGTCATTTATTGTGAAATTGTTTCCTAACAGCAACAGTTTTAAATGTCATCATGCAAATGGAAGAGAGAAACCTTTTATGCAGTTGCAAAGTGTTTTTCTAAGATGCTATGCATTTTGTTGGGTTATTGAAAGTGAATTTACTGTGCATTAATCTTATGAATGTTACTACGTTTTTATATTTATTTTAGATGACCCTCCTGTACTTTACAAAGGGAAGCTTCATTGTGTGATAACTTAGTCTGTATTCTTAATATAATTTGTTAAATAAAACTTGTTCTAATCAGTTTATTCTTTCTGTTTTGTGTTTTAAATTTGGAGTTTAACAAGCTTAAAACACCACAGCTCTGAGTTGCGGGAGTGGAAAGGGACCAGCTGCTCTTTTCCCTCTGCGCCATCATTGCATTGACTTCTCAAGACCGCAAACCTGGATGTTTTGAAAGTAGTTAAAAATATCAGGAGGAATGAAACACGAGTCAGTGCTTATTCTGAACTGAGCCGCGCTGTAGCGGTT